ATGGTTTTAGGTATTGGGAAGATATCAAAGTTATAGAGGATTAAAAACAAGGACACTGGCATAAAAGGAGAATATCCAATATTATGTTTTCCATCCTGCTTCACTATTTTTCCCCTCAAGGCATTTGCGGATGCATATGTTATGTGGGATTCAGAGGCTGAGCAGCTGAGAGAAAGTAGCCCCCAAGTGGCTGAGAATCTGAGCAAAGCTGTTAGCAATGTTGCAGGGCTGGGGCGGGGGAGCACAAAAATTAGATTTCTGAGCAATCAAGATACCCACGACTTCCACTCTCCAGAGAGAACAGAAGCATAAAGTGAATCCAAAATTTGGCACAGATTTCTTCTTGGAACAAGCTGGTTTATAGTATTAATAACTGGTGCAGAGGCTGAAAGCCAGGCAGGAAGTGAGGACTGAGAAGTTGAAAAGCTGACCAGAGATTTGGGCAGTCGCGGGGTGCTGGGGGTAGGGGCCAGGGGACACAAATTGTAACTCAGGTTCTGCCCAGGAAGGTAGGCTCAGTTGAGAGGCATACAGGGTGGGTGTTTCAAAAGGCAGCCAAAGTAGCTAGAATAAATACACTTTGAAAATGAGTATTCACCTTGAAAATATGTTATTCTTAATTGTTTGTTTTTTTAATTTGAAGATATCTGCCTTATTTCAGATTTGGGATGTAACAACACATTAATTTTTATGATAGTATTTGAAATCCTCATAATTGAAATTAGCATAGTATATGACCTCACTTACTCAATAATTTGTGTTATATTTTCTTAGTGTTTACTAAGTTCCAAGATCTGTGCCAGATAACAGATATACAAAGGTGAATGGGAGTTTGCAGTCTAGTGGGGAGGCTTCCGTGGGGGCAGGTGCTAAACCAGAGGACACACCCTATGAGAGGAGAAATCACAAGGAGCTGTGGAGACTCCAGAGGCTCCTCATGGGAAAGTGCGCCTGTGGGGCACTGCTGCCCTCCTCTCCTACAGAAAGCAGTAGCTTTCACAATCAGACTCCATAAAGGACTGCAGAAATAAATTACTGGATTTATATTTGAATGTTTTCTGACATCTGTATCTATACCTATCTATCTATCCATCTATCTATATCTTAATCTATTCAGGCTGCTATAACAGCACATCATAGAGTAGTTTACAAACAGACATTTATTTTTCCTGGTTCTTAAGCCTGGGAAATCCAAGATCAAGGCACCAACAGATTCTGTGTTTGATGAGAGTTTACTTCCTGGCTCACAGACTGACTTTTCTCTCTGTAACCTCACATGGAGAAAGGTATGAGGGAGCTCTCTGGGATCTCTTTTATAAGGGCACTAATGCCGATCACAAGAGTTCTGCCTTCATTACCTAAACATCTCCCAAAGTCTCCACCTGCTAATGCCATCATCTCTGGGTTAGAATTTCAATCAATGAATCTTAGGAGGACATAAACATTCAGTCCCTAGCAATATATATATCATAAAATATTGTCCCTACCTTATAGACTAGAAATATGAAATTTATAAGGCTGAGTTTGACACAGGTACAGAGCTAGTAAATGAATGAGGTAGAATTCAAACCTAGGTTCAGTTAGCAAATAGATACCTCATGATTCGACCGCTTAAAAATAAGGACATGAAGAAAAATGAAGGGGCTACACCTTTTGCTTCATTTGTGTCCCTCAACAGTAACAAGCTCAGGGATGACCACCTAGAAATTCCTCAATTATTTAAGTAGTTTATGTTTCTTCCACTCACATCAACATGTATAAAATCAAACCAAAATAGTGGAAAGAAATTATAACCGCTCCACTTTGGCTCTCAGTTATATACGCTGCCAGCTTCATATTCAAATTCCTTGAGTGTCACTACTGGGTCTCAAGTATTTCTGAGCTCCACCAAATACTCTTCTCTGCTCTTTTCAGAAACAGCTTTGTGTCTCTGCCCTGAAGTTTCTTGCCACAGTGGATATTTAGGAATATTGTTCAGCACCAACTTTCTGTGGCTTTATTTTGGCTCCTGGAATGTAGTCTGCCTCACATAGTTCCCTTTTGTTTTGTTCAAGAAGGGAACCATCTCTTCATCCCTTTTGGGTTGTGGAATAGCAAATGCGTTTCTCACATAGGCATGTCAGTGCAGCTTGTTTGGTATTATTTACCTTATTATGTAGCCCTGTGCTACAGGTACTTGCATATTGGCCATGGAAATTGATTCCAAAGATGTGTTGACTGTCTTGTAGCAAGCTCTCATTAAAATCGCTCTACCACTCCCTCCTGAAGACAGCTAGCATTTGAATTCATCTCACATACATATATTCCCTCACCTGTTCTACTTAGGAGGAATTTCTTTCTTCACATCTGTTTAAAAAAAAAAAAAAAACAGGCTCCCCTTTCCCTGGGAATATTTCAGATGTGTTTCAGGCAAGAGCTAGTGCTGGACTTTAATGCTGTCCCTAGAATCACCTATTGAATTTCTTTTTATTGAACTGCTGACAGAAAATACAGTTGGAGATAATGAACTGGAAGATGTTGTTGGGCGTGTCTTCCCCCTAGATAACCAGCTTCCCCAGGGGCCACTTTCCCCTTCTGTCCGACTCCCACCAAAGGGGAGTCTCCCATGCTGTCCAGTGGTCAAGCAGTGTATTCTGGCTGTGCTGCCCCTAGACAGACAGAAGACGCAGGCAGGTCGCATGGGCCAGATACACTCAGGGCTCAGATGAACCTCTGACCAGGAGGAGCTCCATCTAGTCACCATTCTCAGAGTTTGGGGGATTGTTTTACCTTTCTTATACCTGTATTCAGTCCAGGTTGGTTATCAGTTGCTTCTTTTATAAGGGAAGTTTAAGCAGTTCTTGTAAGGGTAAGCTTTGTTTTAAGGTTCGTAAAAGTTGCATCAGTGCTGCCATGGCCTTGTCCCTGGGGCACCCAGGGACTTCAGTCCTGTTATCATAAAGACCACGTAGTCCCTAGGCCAGGGTTGTAAATCTCCAGGCCAAATTACAGCATATCACTAAGTGACACTTAGTGTAGGCTCTGCAAGATGTTGTAGTGAGTCTTATGGCCATCATTAAATGTATAGCCATGGTATATCTCTTACAGTCTACTACACATTCACCATGCAATGTTGCTCCTTTTATATGGGTGAGATAATTTTGTTACAGTGACGCAGTTTTGAGATTGTAGTTGGATACTTTGATTGAATTGGATGTTGCGGTAACACCTGGGCTCCCCTGATGAAGATCAAAAATACACCCAGTTAGCTCTCTGAAAGTATGTGTCCTTCTAGTTTTTTTTTTTTCATGCACCTAGTACAACAGGCTCACCTCTGCAGCCTGGGCACTTCAGCTGTACTTATGCCCCACAGACAGACATGTGGTCTCTGCCTGAGTGGGCAAGAATGGCCAGTGCCCTGCACTCATGGGCTGTGGCAGCTGTCCAATCTCTATTGTCTAGACATAAACAAAGGTACAGTGCTGAGCTGATCTGTAACTCAAGGGCAGCCTCCAGCCATCAGAACCCTGAGTCAATATTTAGGGGGCCAGGCAAATCCTTTAGAAAAGAGGGGAAAGGCTAGTTAGGTGTCAACAGCAACTAGACTTTATAAGGATCATTTTTACTCCCTGAATGATTTTTTCCTCACGCTTGACCACATATGTTAGCAAACTAGTTTTATCTACGTAGTGAAATCAATTTGCAAAAGGTAAAAAAGAAATTTGTTAATTTCTTAAATTGGCTGAGAGAGAATGGATTCTTTTCCCCATTCCCATTGGCAATAGGATAGAAAAATATGGAAATGTAAAAAAGATAATTAGGCCTTTTGAAAATAATAATTACCAATTGTTTACTTTTCCAGTCATTCCAAAAGAGGTACTATGAGAGAAACTGTGGCCAATCCCTAAAGATGGTTAAGAATTGACAAGAATATAGATTTCATGTGTGCATGCCTCCATGCTCGTGGTATAGTTAGTTCAGTGCTGCTTAAAGAAAGCATGGCTGGGAATCAATGATCTTGGAGTTCATTTCTACCCCTATAATTCAAATGAATTATTTAGAATATTATGAAGGAGTTATAATTTTAAATGCAGCTAATGCATCTCTGGAAGCACTGTTATTGCAGATGGTGGGGAGTTGCAGCTCCTATTTGTAATAATAGCAATCAGACCAACGTAATTCATCAGAGACTGGAAAAAGTGCTGACTGCAGCCAAATGGAACCAGGAGATAAAGGACACCGGTGTAGCGTGGGAAGGGATTCCTAAGAAAATTAATGTGTCCCCAAAGGGCTGTCTGCTACTTAATAATAAACATACTTTCAGGAAAATGAAAGCAAATGAACGTGAGTAAAGGGCAAAAGTTAATCAACACAACTCTACCAAATGGCAAGAGACATAAACTAAAGAGCTGAGGGAATATGTGGAGTAAAAATGTGGGAGCACAAAGGCAGGAATTCAGTCCCTTGCAACGAAGGGTTTTTTCATCTCTACATTTGCAAATAGGCTCTCATTTTCAAAACCTTGGGCCCTGCCTCTTCCAGGAAGCCTTCCCAGGAAACTCAAACTTGCCTCAACTCACCTTTTCCAGCCTGGGACCCTCGTGTGGCAATTTGTCCTGTGTCTATGTGTCTTGGGTATGGAGTGGGGGACTGCTGAGGAGGAAGGCAGAAGTGGGGCATGCTTACTGTTTTGTAGAACCCCATATTTCCTGCTCCCACACACTTTCCTTTTTAGTAAATGGCAACTGCCCTTTTCCAGTTGGTCAGGACATGAAAGTTAAGTCATCCTTGACTCTACTTTTTTTCTTATGTATAGGCTTTGCTTTTTAGATTTACTCCCCTACCCCCTAAAAAAGTGAAAATAGTAAAGAGAGTTGCCACATAACTGGTACCCAGTTGCCTTGATTATTATTATCTTACCTTAGTATGAAAAATACGGATACATTTTATTAATTTAGGTATCAATACGTACTTTATTTAAATTGCCTTAGTTTTTATCTAATGTTCTTTTTCTGTTACAGGATTCCACCCAGGATATGACACTACATTTTTGCCATGGACAAAATGTTTGCATTTCCCCAAAATTCGTATGTTGGGGTCCTAATGTGGAGGGGTTTGGAGGTAGGGCCTTTGGAAGATAGCTGGGTTTGGATGAGGTCATGAAGGTGGAGCCCCCACAATGAGACTGATGCCCTTGGAAGGGAATGAAAAGCACAGAGTGTATTATCTTTGCCAAGTGTGAACATAGCAAGAAGATATCACCTATGAACCAGGAAGACAGCCCTCACCCGGCACCGAATCTGCTGCTGCCTTGATCTGGGAATTAACAGCTTCTGGAATTGTAAGAAATAAATGTTTGCTCTTTAAGCTATGCAGTCTATTGTGCACTTGATACAGCAGCCCAAACTGACTAAGGCGATATAGTCGTCACACCTCCATAGACTGTTCTTGGCTGTGCCTGTATCTCAGGCTTGCCCTATTTTTGATGACCTTGAGTTTTGAGTTGCAATGCTGAGGTATTTTGTAGGATTTCTCTCTATTGGAATTTGCCTGATGTTTTGACTGTGGTTATGGGTGTTGGGGAGGCAGGCACAGGGGTGAAATGCCATTTTCATTACATCATATTCTTGACTCCTCTCTTGATCTCACAGAGCTCAGCGAATCCGTGAGCAAATCCCTATGATTTTTGGCATGCTTCCAAAATCTAATCCATTAACAACACTCCACACCACCACCGCGGCCCATGTTATTAGCATCTTTGTCCTGGATGGTTTTAATAGCTTCTTAACTGATCTGCCTTCTTCTTCTCCTCGAACCATGGAGAAGCCAGAATAAGATCAGGGTAAGATTTTTAAGTCATAACGTTTCACTCCTCAAGTCAAGGCCTTCACTACATTCTCTTCTTGCTCAAAGTAAAAGCCCTGCTCTCTTTACCATGGTCCACAGGACCCTATGTGACTTCTCCTCTCTCCTGTCTCCGACTGTATCTCCCAAAAGTTCACACTCAGAACCCATCCTCCCCTTGTCTATTTATGTAAAGCACTTTCGAGTCTCTGCTAATGGGTCTGTATCTCAATACAATATTAATTTTGGTCTCATACAGCAATAAAATAATTTGTATAATCTATGCTCACTTATTAAGGTCCTGTGGAAATAGTCCAATAAAAATATTCTCATGCTAACCATACTATCTAGTATACATAAGAATGGTAGTCATTATTTTTGACACTAACCATGAGGCAGAGACAGCATTAACCCCTTTAGTGTAAGACATTCCAGTGGATTTCCATCTCTCATATTATTAAATATGCACTTCTTATCCTGGTGGACACCATCCACTAAGCTGGCCCTCTTATCTCCAGCCTCACCTCCTTTCACTACTCTCCCTGCTCTCTACATTCCAACAACACAGACCTTTTGATTCGCTCTCACCACATTCCCTGCGTTCTACCTGATATGCTCCTCCACAGTATCTTAGTCAGTGTGGGCTGCTATAACAAAATACCACAGACTAAGTGGCTTAAACAACAGACGTTTATTATTCAGAGTTCTGGAGGAGGGAAGCCCAAAAACAAGGCTCTGGCAAACTGGGTCCTTCTGAAGGATCTCTCCTTGGCTTGCGGACATTTCTCCTCTCCTTGTGTCCTCAGATGGTAAAGAGAATGAGAGTTCCTGTCTCTTCCTCTTCTTATAAAGGCATTAATCTCATTGCGATGGCACCACCCTCACAATCCCCTCTAAATCTAATTACCTCCCAAAGGCTCCACCTCCACATACCCTCACATTGCGGATTAGAGCTTTAACATATGAATTTTGAGGGAACACGAACATTCAGCCCACAACATGTGGGCCTTGGCATAACTTACTTCATCACACTCCATATAGGTCCTACTCAAAACCGTCTTCCCAGAGAGGCTGTCCCTGTTAACTTCAACTATAACCTCCCTATTGTCCTAGGTTACTCAGTTATAAGGCAGGAGATAGTAAAGCCAGAATTTGACCTGGGTCTATTTTAACTTCAGACTCTTTAACCACTTCAATACGAGCGTCGACTATGAACGCGCACAGCCGAGCGCCGACTGTAGCCGACAGCCATGATATGAAAGCACACAGCCGAGTGTTGACTGTAGCATTAATAACAAAACTTCTACAACAGTACTCTGAATCGAGGCAATACAACCCTTGTACTGCATCAGAAAATCTCATGCATTTTAGAGAATGACATTTTCCAGCACCTTACAATAGTGATAAAATAAAAAGGAAAAATCCACTAAGAAGATGTATTGTATACTCAAAAAATAATAAAAGGGGTAGTACCAGATACTATTGTAAACAATGTAATGTTGGCCTATGTGTAGCCCCATGCTTCAAAATTTATCATACCAAAGAATAAAATTTATCATAATATTCAAAAACTTGTCTTATTTCTTTATGATATGAATGAAATAGAACTATAATTTTGAATTGACTTTTCTAATTTTTCATTTATCAAAATAAAATTGTGAACATTTAAAAATAACGTAATGAAAACATATATGTGTATGTTACCTATTCTGATTTACAGTACAAGTAAAGCTGCCTGTAAAGTAAAACAAGCTTTCAGTGCTGTAAATCTTTCCTCATCACACAAGAGCAAAATGGATCCGTTGTCACTGCACAGCACTGACTACCGTGCGGACTGTGAGTGGGGCTGCGGTGGAGGGTTCACGGCCGGTGAGCGCCGTCCCGAAGTGGCCAACATGGCCTTCACTATGAAGCCCATACCTTCGAATGTCGTCACAGGCCAATCTTTATCTCCTTAAGTGGCCTTTAAAAAAATGTTTCATATCTTCCCTGCCATATTGCAGTTACTGACCATAAGTTGTTGCTGTCCTTGTCATGTCCCTGGAAGATTTCTGTTTTCTTCACAACCATAAATTACTTATTTCAACTGAGAATTCATGTGAAAACTTCCTATTTGGAAGTGATCTTCTTTTTGAAAGATCTCTTACCCTCCCTTGTGTCTACATTGCCCTGGTGGGTCTTGTTAAGAATTATCTTACATGGTAGGTCTGTCCTTAGTCACTCTACCCACTTGCTAGATGAGATAATTATTGGTGAAAAAAGAACATGTTTATATACATTTCTTACTTTCTTTGTACCAGAAATTGTTCAGATATAGTGGTTATTCCATCATGTTGCTTAAATTAGAAGCTTTATGTAATGATGTGGAAATTTTCCAAAATATATTTTTAAGTCAGAAAAAAAAAAAAAAACAGACATCGTAGCATGTGCCTGTAGACCCAGCTATTCAGGAAGATAAGGTAGGAGGATTGCTTCTTTCATTCACTGTGTTAGTTGCTTATAAGTGCTGTAACAAATGGCCATAACTTAGTGACTAAAACAGCACCTATTTATGGTTTTGCAGTAGGTGGGTCAGAAGTGAACATACAGCATGGGTCAGCTGCCTCCACCTCTAGGATGAAGTGAAGGAGTATGTGGGGATTCCTTATGGGAGACTCTAGAGATTCACTGCTTCTGGATTCTTTCAGGTTTTTGACAGAATTTAGCTTCCTTTGGAGCCAGCTATCACCTAGGGGTTGCACACAGCTCTTAAGGGCCACCTTTTATGCCTTGTCATCCCCAGGAATGATGGCTGAGTCCTGCTCCCTCCCTTCTGCTGCACCTGTTGCACTGCAGTCTGAGAAAAGTCTCTGCTTTCAAGGGCATGAGTGACTTCATTGGGGCCACGTGAGTAATACGGGATGATCTTAGGATCTCAAGGTCTGTGACCTTAATCACATCTGCAATGTCCCTTTTTCTGTGTAACAACATAACATATTCACAGGTTCTAGGGATGAGGATATGGGCATCTTTGGTGAGTCGTAAGTATTATTCTGTGTTCTGCATTCACGTAATTCTCAAGTGATAACCACAGAACTCATTGCATCTGAGAAGTCCAGGAAAAGGGACTTTATCTCTGAATCACAAAATGTGCAGTATGAAGCATAGTGCTCTATGTAAAAGGCAATAAAATAGAGGGTAAGAAATATTGTAAATATTGTGCTTTTAGTTTTTATAAGCTGTTCTCTCCAGATTTGATATTTTGGTGGATGATACCACAGCAATCAATATATAATGCTACTTCTACTATAAAGTAACTATGACTTTAATTCAATTTTCTAAGCCACCATTATTTTCATCATTTATTCTGAAAAATAAATAGTGTGATGATTAGTTGAAAAATCAGACAAAATACATAATTGATTTATTTTTTTAACTGTCTTGCCTCAGGGATTAACATTAAGCAATGTTCTGTCTACGCTGCCTCTCACAACTGCATTGCAAATTCGAGAGTTGAATCACTTTCTAAAATTTTGCTTAATCATGTAAATTTCTTCTAACCATTAGACTCATGATGGCATGTCCAATATTTCTCCATTTATTATCATCAGCAAATTGCTAGATGCATTGTTTTCTTCCTGGTTGAGATCATTAATTAAGATGTTTTGGTGACTGAACATCTCCCCACCCCCACATCCTTCATTGAGAATCACCTGGCGCCAGAATGCTCAGGCCAGTCACCGGGTCCAGTTGATTTCAGTCCTTTAGCCACTTTGCTCATAATAGGGTCAATCTGACTGCAGTTCCAATATGAAGGCCAGGCTCTGGGATATTGTCAGAGGATACAACAGACTTCCAGAGGGAACACAGCAAACTTAACATCCCTCGAATGCAAATTAGAACCACTGATAGCCTTGAGTCACAGCTCTGTGGACCACTGACCAATAAGTCAAGGTAGGAAATGGAATGGAGAGAGTGGGTGCATTTGGGTAATATTTAGGTGATAATGTTAGCATGACTTGGAAACAGAATGGTTGTAGGCAATGAAGGTCATGCCCGGTTTATATTTGTTTTGCCTTCAATAAGGAATAATGATGCCATTCCCCCAGAGAATACAGAAAGAATTGTGTGTGTGTGTGTGTGTGTGTGTGTTGGTGATACTAGTGAGAAGTTGCAAATAAGTTTATTTTTCTAAAATATTTTTCATATGACCTGGGAAGATCTAAGTAGTGATGCGCAACAAGCATTTCTACACGTGTCTGAAATTCAGGAATGTGATCTGAGTTTAGATTTGCATTCCATCATTGTACACTAGTCCACCCTCATCAAAAGTTTCACTTTTAAAGATTTCAGTTATGCACAATCTTGGTCTGAAAATATTCAGAAAATAAGCAAATTTATGATTTCTGAGTAGTGTGATGAAATGTCATGCCTGGGATGTGAATAGTGCCTTTTTCCAGTGCGTCCATTCTGTAGTGACTTGGTAGCCGTCTCATTTATCAGGTCAACTATTGTGGTATCACAGTCCTTGTGTCCAATTCGCCCTTAGAATGGCCCCATGTGCAAAAGTAGCAATGCTGGCAATGTGGATATGCCAAAGAAAAAGAGTAAAGTGCATCCTTTAAGTGAAAAGGTGAAAGTTCTTGAAAAAATTGTATACTAAGGTTGTTAAGATCTATGGTAAGAATGAATCTTCTGTCCATGAAATTGTAAAGAAGAAATTGGTGCTAATTTTGCTCTTGCTCCTCAAACTGCAAAAGTTATGGCTGCAGTGAGTGTTAAGTGTTTAGAAAATGTATCCCTCGAGGAAAAGCAAAGGCTACTGTATACAAAGTAGTTAATAGTATGAGGTGTCTGAACTTCCTCAGAAATAAGTTGTATAGAATGGGAAAGGAAGGCATTGGGGAGATCTGTGAGAATAGCAATGGAGTTCTCTTGGTCTATTTGGGCTGTTATCACAAAGTACAATAATGAAGTGGATAGCTTATAAATAACAAAATTTTATTTCTCACACTTTGGGATGCTAGAAGTCTGAGAACAGATGCCAGCTTACTTGGCATCCAACTCACACTAGAAGAATGCTTGCCAATTAGAAACTACCTCAGTGCTTTTTCTTTGTGCCATGGATAAAATGTCTCTGTCACCCTAAAATCCCTATGTTAAAGCCCTACCCCCCACTTTGATGGTATCAGAAGATAAGTTGAAGCCTTTGGGAGGGAATTAGGCTTACTTAGGTCATAAGGCTGGAGTCCTCATGATGGGATTCGTGTTCTCACAAGAGGAGACACAAGAGAGATTGCATGGTCTTCCCCTCGCCCTGGCCATGCAGCTCAGAAATGCCATGTGAGCCTGTGACATGAAGGAAGCCGTGTGCATGAAGAGGGGAAGAGAGCCTGCACCAGACTCCTGATGTCCTGCATCCTTGATCTTGGACTTCGTAGTCTCCAGGCTGCCAGAAACGTGTGTCTGTTGTTGAAGTCATCTAGTAAACGGTATTTGCCATGGAAACCCTAGATGAAAAAATGCTCCATCGAACTCACTCTCCTTTCAATTATCATTGAACTCCTGTTGAAACTAAAGTGATGGTAGACAGATTCCCTTACACCACAAACTCATGGATAAACAGCTTTTGCAATTTTTTTTTTTCTGGAACTGGGTTTTATTTTGTTAGAACTCAGCCACATAACCTCATCCAACTAGAAGAGAGACTTGAGCGTGTGGTCATGTAGCTATATCCATGGAAAAGAGACAATCACCTTGGGCATAAATAGACTGCTCTGCCCCTTAAATCGAAGTGACACTGGTAGAAAACAATGCTTATTTATTAGAGCAGCATTTATAAGAGTGAAACCTCCAGATAAGCTCAATGCCAAATGCAACAATGTTCTTTCCCTTACCAAATCCTTCAGCAGTATTTGAAACTGTCAAACTCTTTTTTGTCCTTGAATCACCCCTTTCTCCACACACCCCTTTCTCTGCACATCCCCATTCTCCCTGGGGAATCCAATAAACTTCTTTAATTTCAATTTGTTTCTAAATTCTGATGACTTTCAAGTATCCTTCCACTCATATATATCTCCTGAGTTTTAGATACATATCTTCAACTCTCTAGTAGCCAAATCTGAGAAGTTCAGCAAGCAAATTATAAAAATTGAAAAAATAAAATACAAGTTATCTTGTCTCCATACCACCTAGACTCCCTTCCTGAGGTGTTTTATCTTTGTTTTTCTTTTTCTTTTTTCTCAAGACAGAAACCTGAGTATTACTTTGACCTTCCCTCTTTATTACCCTCCTTGGATATCAATCTCAAATCCTGTC